AATGTAAAATATGTGAAAAATAATGTGTTTTTCGAACAACCTAGTATGAGAGCCTGTTCTAGTACACCCCCAAAACAAAATCAAGACTTTGTAAAAGAGCATAATAGGACCCCTTTAAAGAAAGCATCATCTGTATGCAAAGTGAGCCATATTTGGTGTTTGACCACTGAAAAGTTAGCACCAAAATCACAGCTGTCCTCCCTTATCCTTTTCATTTGCTTTCTTTCCCGCTCACTGGTTCATTCAATGGTATTCTTAAACTGCACTCGGTGGTCCCATAGACTGTAAAAAAGATGGATGACACATTTCCAATTAATTTCACTACAGAAAAGTGAAGCCAAACAATCTCCTTATGGCGGCTGTTATCACCTAAAAATTACGTTATTTGCCACCAGAGTCTGCAAAGTAGTGATCATGAGGTGGAGCCGCGGTATCAAAAGTCCCGCCCAAAATTCCGCAGACCCAATCGCAAGATCACAACCATGACACCACACCCCATTTTTATAGCATTAAATAACTAACTAAAAGCAAACTTATTCGAAAAACGAATGCTTGAACATACATCAGCATGGTAATAACTACCTAAAACGACAGAAACCATCTTTGGAAAAAATTTATTTGAAGCATAATTTGATTATTTAGTTTGTCACACGTCCCAATAGATTACATGACCTATACTGTGTCCAGCCACCTGGGGACGATCGAAACATTTTGGCTTCACTTTTCAGGACTTGTGCGGCATACTTGGGTGGTCCCCTTAAAGTGATGTAAAGTGTGATGAAATCTGAATAGAAGTGGTCATAGGAGACTCCTTCAAAACGCACGTGTACTAGGTCGAAACAGTAAATACATCTCAGTTGACAACTTGTAATGGAATCACCAAATACACACTTTAACCTTTTGAACAGTACGGTCCCACATATGGGATTTAGAACGTCACATAACTGCCAAATTCAAACAGTGCTTTCGCGCTTTGGCTGGCGCTGAGACGCTCTCTGCACTTTTTTAAGCACATAATGTTTATTTTAGGTTTCATACATTTAAATATACTTAAGTACTAGTAAAACAATACATTTAGAATTTGTAAAATACACAAGGTTGTCTATGGAAGCAGCAATAACAATTACAGCAAATATAGCTGCAAGCAGCGATTACCGGGGTTCAAGCACTTTAAGGCCTTTATTGCATTTAAGCTGTTATGGCCTAGGCCAACCTGAAATTTTGGATATTTTGCACACACACATACGCAACCTGAAATGAAAGGGCTTAAGCATAATACTTAATACAAAGTAAGCGTATTTACACATGCAAACACATATTGTTGAAGATATAGAGATTTAAAGTAAATGATAGGTAACAAAATGCTTACTGCAAGTCTTGTCTTTATAATGCAATTTTCTGGTCTCACTGCAATCATGATGTGGCATAATTGCAAAATTTGATTCCTCCAGGTAAATGAAGTGGTAAAGTTTGACAAAATGTGATATTGAATGTTATCATAGTGACTTTATAATTTATAGACATGAATACAAATGGCAGACCTGTAAATAGAGCTATATTAGTAAGCAGAATGAGCCAATTAATGGTCTTCTACTGCCATCTAGTGGTTAAAATGGCAATTCCAGGGATTTGGCCATGTACATGTACTGTTTAACCTTTTTAACCATTATAGAGGCAACTGATGTCTGAGCCCCATACATTTAGCATTTTGCATGCTTGTCTACAATCATACGACACATGGGCTCACCTTTCATGGAAGTTTTGAGCTTTCTTTTAGGAATTATAGGGTTTTGGGTACACCGTATCAAGGCCATATTATTAAATGACCCTGTTATAGATGTCCAAATGCAAATGTTCAACATTTTTTGGTAATTATTGACCAAGAGAGTCTAGAGAATTGTACTGCAGTGATTTTATTGGTTTTGAGTTTAAAGCCTATGACTAGTTCACAAAAGTGGGTTTTTTAAATAATCTCAAATACTTAAAGAACAGTTTGATTAACAGCAGTGATCCGCAACGTTGAGGCAAAGTTGTTCAGAATGAGGAGATCTATCATATGAAATGAAGATATAGTGTATAAGTGAATATATTAACATTTTATTGCAATTTGAGGTCATTTACTATAGAAATACTGTGTTTTTGAGGCTGTTTTAACTGATATAGCGCCACCTATAGTCCGATCTCCATGAAAATGTGCATGCTTATTACGAGTCATCTGTCACATGTTTTCACCAAGTTTCGTAAAGTTTCGAGTTTTTGTTTAGGTTTTATAGGCTTTTGGGTATATGTGGCCACACCCCTTTTATAAATGACCCTGTTATAGCCAACCAAAGGACAAAATTCAAAATTGTTTTGCTAATTATTGATCTGGAGACTCCAGAGAATATTACTGCAGTGGTTTGATCTAGATTGAGTGGAAAAACCTAGGACTAGTTCGCAAAAGTAGGTTTTTAACATATTTGTGAATATATAATGAACGATTTGATTGACAGCAATGGTTCTTGAGGCAAAGTTGCTCATTATGAGGAGATCTATCAAATGATATGCATATTGTGTGGATGTGTGAAACACCACGTGATTACAGAGCCATAAAACTCGTTAGCGCCGACTAGTGGCCGATTTCTTTAATTATATGAAATTTGCAGGTGTCAGAGATCCACTAGCAGTATGTGGGATACTCTCGGACCTTCTGGGAGTGAGGAGATGTCTGATAATGACAATAACAGATTTTTATTAAAATACTGCAAATATTGTTTGGATATTGTATTGAAATATTTCTTGGTTCATTCACCATTGGCAAGTGTTTTGTACCCTGTTTGCCCTCCGCAAACAGTGTCGGGGCGTCGGTTAAAAAAATGTGATTCCTTGACTCAACTCCAGCACAGGAATCTACTTTCCTTGTTGACTCAAGTTTGTAATTATACATGCCAGCTTTGTTGCTTAATTTATGTTATATTAATGCAATAAATATATATTTGCTTTTCCATGTTTAACCTATTTGTATTCATAGTCATTAACCTAACCTTAAATAATCAAAAACTCACATTGAGAATACACAAACCAATAAGTATACAATATTGTATGTATTTGTGTACCTGTTAAATTAGACGTGCACAATGCACATGATTGTATGGGTGTAGCGTCATCACTCAGCCATTATAATGACATAAATTCATTAAGGAATTCCTTCTTTCTTCTTTGTTTAATTCTGAAATGATATTCAACCACGGCTGTTTCTCATAACTTTTCCCTCTGTAAAATTAGGTATTGGCAACCATGTTGATAGCTACTCATCATTTCAAGGTAGTGTCATTGCTAAATTGGACTAATTTGGACAGTCACGCTAAAAGTGTGTTGTTTTATTAAGGGGAATTTAAGGCTACATGTCAAGAAAAAAATTAAGTGTCTAATACCAACTGCAATCTTGTATCATTCCTGACCCTGTTTTGCTGTAAGGTAAATAGAGTTGATATGTCAATTACATTGACTCCTATGGTGGAAGTCAAAAAAAAAAAAAAAACTGGAATTGAACAACCTTACTTTTTTTCAAAAATAATTTCTAGATTGTACATTAAGATATTTTAGTATCTCTGAGTCCACAAAATTTCTATTTAGTTCATATGCTACCAGATGAGACCAAACACGAGTTACGTGTTGGAAAAATGCTACAGATGTGAAGGAGGCAGTAACAAAACCATCCTGTACCTGATCTGTCCCAACAGTCTTTAATCAGCATATTGATGAATCTCTATTAATAAATCAGATCAATCTCTCACACTGATCAGTACAGCCCTTCTATGCGCTAAGTTGCTTTCAAGGAAAATCAGACAACTACAGAAAGCTGACAGAAACACTGAACTATAGAGTTTTTGCACCCAGATGTTCCCTGAATGCCCTATTGAGAAACAGTAGAGGACCTAATACTCAGCCCTGTGGCACTCCATACTTTATGTAAATAAGAGGTGCCTTGTCAAACACAAGTATTACTACTTGTTGGATAGATACGATCTAAACTGTGCTAATGCTTGTCCACAAATGGCAACACAATTACACAATTTGCAAATTATCCAAGAAAATATTGTTGTTTATACTGTGGAGAGATCTGAAAGCACTATAAACTGAAAAAAAACCAGAACGGTTTCTCGTGCAAAACTGAACATATGTGCAAGGATGCTATTTTTTCTAATATTTTAGATGAAAATGGCAGGTTTGAGATTAGTGTCTAATTAACCCATTTCCCTTGGGTTAAGCTATGTTTTTTCTTCTTTTTCTTCTTAAGGGGTTTAACATCTGACAGCTTAATATTATTGACTCTATGCTTATTTTTATGTCCCAAAAAAGTTTAAGAAGAGATTCTGGGATTGCAGGAAACACCTGTTTCAGTATCTTAGGGGGTATAGGATCTAGCATAAATGTTGTTGGTTTTGTCTGTTGTCTTTATGCCATTAAACTTTGGTTATTGTGTATTTGGCTCTTTTCACCTTAGACATGATTGCACAGAAAGAAGAGAGTCAAGGACTGAATAAATCAGAAGAGCAAGATCAGCATGAGGAACATCATGATTTCATAACTGGAGAAAAATTTAGTTGCTCACAGACTGAAAAGTCTTCCTCTCGAACAAGAGCTCAAAAGACAGGAAGTGGAAATTATTTCACTTGCCAACAGTGTGGACAGAGTTTCGGTCAAAATGGAAACCTTAAAGTCCACATGAGAATTCACACTGGAGAGAACCCTTTCACCTGCCAACAGTGCAATAAAAGTTTCAACAGAAAAGGAAACCTTAATGTCCACATGAAAATACACACTAGAGAGAGACGTTTTACCTGCCAACAGTGTGGAATAAGTTTCACTCAAGAAAGAAGCCTTAAAGTCCACATGAGACTTCACACTGGAGAGAAACATTTCATCTGCCAAGAGTGTGGAAAAGGATTTAACCGAAAAGTAAGCCTGAAAGTCCACATGAGAATTCACACTGGAGAGAAGCCATTCACATGCCCTCAATGTGGAAAGAAATTTGATCAACATGGAAACCTCAAAGTCCACATGAGAATTCACACTGGAGAGATCCCTTTTACCTGCCAACAGTGTGGAAAAAGCTTCAACAGAAAAGGAAACCTTAAAGTCCACATGAGAATTCACACCGGAGAGATCCCCTTCACCTGCCAAAAGTGTGGAATAAGTTTCACTCAAAAAGGAAGCCTTAAAGTCCATATGAGAATTCACACTGGAGAGATCCCTTTTACCTGCCAACACTGTGGAAAACATTTCATTAGAAAAGGAAGCCTTAAACGCCACATGAGAATGCATACTGGAGAGAAGCCTTACACATGCCCTCATTGTGGAAGGAGTTTTACACTTAAATCAACCCTTACTTCCCATGTGAGAATTCACACTGGAGAGAAGCCATTTGTATGTGGTCAGTGTGGAAAGAGTTTCAGATTCAACGTATCCCTTAATCACCACATGAGGATTCACTCAAGAGAGAACTGGGCCCGTATTCACAAAACATCTTAAGGCTAAAAGTAGCTCATAACTCACCGATTTAGGAGAACTAAATTTAGGACTCCTACATTTTTGTTCTAAGAGTATTTCACAAAGCGTTTTAGCTCTAAAACTAGCTCTTAAATCTGTGAAACGTTAGTAGTAGTGAAGAGGACTCCTAAGTCACTAAGACCAAGCCACAAACTTTCCTAAAATGGCTGTTGCCGGCAATCTGCCTTGGAATGTAAACAAAGTTTACTGGATTTTAAAATTTACTGAAATTTTAATGGAACTCAAATTTAGGCCCTAGCCCGGCCCTGGCCCGAGACGCTCAGGCCCTAGCCCGGCCCGTGTCCGACAAGCTTATCAGAATTACCGGCCCGATCCCGACCCGAGCGCGTCTTTTTTCCCCTTCTCCCAAAACAGCTTAAACTACTGTTTCAGCTATTAAAATAGTTCAGTTTTGTATGTAATAGCAAAGTGATTATATTTCGGAATATAATCCGGAAGCTCTTCTCAATGTTTTGATTTTTTGAACGGGTAAGAGAGCGGCAATCAGCATTTTGAGGAAGCGGTGTGTGTAACGGACTCTTAAATGAGTTAGGCTACACAACCCAGGGATACCCTCTTTCCCGGATTTTGCTGGATTATTGACGAGCGATCTCACTGTGGAGTAGGCATGGGCCTGTATGAGATTTTGACGGTATGATAACCTTAAGCAAAAATATCACAGTTTCACGGTATTGTCGTTAACAGCTGTAAAATGTGTTATTTTTAAATGACTGGGTAAAAAAAAAAAAAAATTCCGCTAAACACAATATTTTTTGTTTTTGAGCAACATACTAGGATATTAGGAACAGTAGAATTTGTTTATTTTTCTTTGATTTGTTTCCTAAAAAGAAGAAAAATAAAGACTGAATAAAGATCTTTATTTAACATAATATCTGTAATTAGTTATTTAATTTGTTATATAATTCATATACATATAATTTGATATCATTTAGTTATATAATTTCATATACATAATTTGATTTAGTAATAACACAATTTGAAGCAAAAACAGAATGTTCTGACTAGCTTTGTGAAATTATACTACATGCCTGAACGAAGCAAACAGCAGAAGCTCTGAATGAGACACATATTCACTCTCTCGGCGCTTCTGGAACACCAGACACAGCGTTTGCTTGGTTACCGCTGCAAACAAAGCAGCGCTGCGCTGAAACACTGCTTTAATATGAACTATACAGAGACGAGATGAAAAGAAAATACCACGTAAACTTTTCTGAAGACAGTCAGTTCCCCTCAGAAACACATTCATATAATCCCCCAAATCAATATTGAGGACTTTCTTCCAATAGTCTGTGCATCATGAACAGTGAGTGATCTGCCTGCTACAGTAATTTTCTCTTTGTGTCCATCTTCAGCATCTCTGGCCTGTGTTAACGGGCGTTTACAGATTTCATATTTTCACATAAATGACATTTTGGCAAATGATTGCATTGCAACACAGTTTGTGCAAGTCCAGAACAGAGATGAGCTGCAATAAAACAAAAAAACGTCCGGTTGCCGATCGCGTAAAGTCCAGCAAATCGCGGTATACCTTGAAACCGGTAATCGGCCCATACCTACTGTGGAGTATAATTTTTTTGGAGGTTTTTTCCTTGTGGAATGCTTTCCGGTGAGGACGGATACCGCTGATGTATGGCCCGCTCATAGTCTCTCCAGCTCCGGTGAGCCTGATCTGAACTTTGTGTATATAATGAACTTTGGGACTCGTACACACACACAAACTCTCACACTCTTACTTGGAACTTTGAATTGTGAAATATTGTATATATGATTTATAAATACACTTAGGCACTTTGATACTTTATCCGGTTGTCTGACTCCCTTTTAACAGATAATGTTGCATTATTAGGGTTTCCCTTGCTTTGTTGTGTACGGTTGGTTGTTACTACAGAACGCCAACTGTTACAGGATATTGTGGCAAGTTGTTCTTGATCTTTAAAAAAGTTTATCCAGTAACTCTTATGTTCCTATTTGCTCATACTTTGAGCATTGTAAGGTTATCATTACATTTAATATTCCTTAAAATTTGAAGTAGGTCTTTTAAAAATGACACAAAATCCTTATATAATTAACATTTAAAGTGAAGCGAAGTGACGTGTGGCCAAGTATGGTGACCCATACTTGGAATTTGTGCTCTGCATTTAAAGGGATAGTTCACCCAAAAATGAAAATTCTTTCATTAATTACTCACCCTCGTGTCGTTCCAAACCTGCAAGACCTTTGTTCATCTTCGGAACACAAATTAAGATATTTTTAATGCATTCCGAGAGCTCTCTGACCCTCCCATAGACAGCAAGGATCCTAACACGATCAAGGCTCAGAAACGTAGCAAGGAGATCGTTGAAATAATCCATGAGACATCAGTGGTTCAACCGTAACTTTACGAGGCTACGAGAATACTTTGTGTGCGCAAAGAAAACAAAAATAACAACTTTACTCAACAATTCGTCTCCTCCGCCTCACCCTATAGCGCCGTTTTGGAGAGTATCACATACGCATACAACCAGGGCCGGATTTACCTCTTTTCGTGACGTAGGCAAAACAAATTTTTGGGCCCCCCCCTTCCCTATTAATATGTTAGGCCTAATATTACCACCCAAGCAAACAAATATATTTCTTAATCAGTGGAAAAGGTTACAGTGTTTTCTATCGCAATAAGCGCTTGCGTTCAGTCAATAAAAATCTAATGTAGTTCTTAATTTGTTTGAGAACTGAGAAAGACCATTCCATTAATAGGCGTGGCCACATAATAACCAAATTCCCAAATTCCATTTTAGAGCTAATAACGGAGGCTTGAGCCATTGATATGCAGGCTAATGCAGTTATTAATGCAGTCTAATGCGGTTATTAGAGAGAGAGAGAGCGAAAGAGAAGGAGAGAGAGAAATTAAGCGTGTGTGAATACACGCGTCTATGCGTCTCTCAGCAGCATCTACTAATAGCGAATCTTTAAGTTAAACTGCTTCGAGAACCTCGCAACTGAGAAATGTCATGTAGCTTTTCAGCTGCGAAACTATTTTATTGATAAATTCGCGGGGCAGCGCTGACGAGAAGTTTCTGTTTGCGTCTCCGCATGTGCGCGCAAGTGCGTGTCTGCACTGTGTGTGCGTCTGTGAGAGAGACTGGGAGAAAGAAAGTGTGATTTCCGTAGCCTACATAAACAAGGTGGAAGACATGGAAATAGTTTGTCATTTTTTAACCTATTGTTTGTTATATTTATTTGCTCAATGTCTGCTGGGGTTTTGGTTCTTTTACTGTTGTAGATAGCCCATAACAAAAATATTATATATCTCTTCATTGTGTTTGGGCCCCCCTGGACAAGCGAACATAGGCACGTGCCTAGAATGCCTATGCGTAAATCCGGCCCTGCATACAACGTATGCTTTTCTGTGTCAGCAGCACCATACACCGTGAACACACATCTGGAGCAGTGGGCAGCTATATTGCTGTGGCACCGTGGGAGCAGTTAGGGGTTCGTTGCCTTGCTCAATGGTCTCACCTCAATCATGGATTTGAGGGTGGAAGAGAGTGCTTGGCCCCCACTACAAACCCTGCCAGACCTGAGACTCGAACCCACAACCTTTGGGTTACAAGTCCAACAATTGTATATATACAGTATATAATGCAGATTACATCAAGGAAAAGGATGTCAGCATCATATAGTGATAGTGGTGGGAAACGCAGTGCCACCACGAACAGCCCATTTGGTCTCCCTATAAAACAAGCAAAACATGATGATTCACCACTCCGAGGAAAGTGAATGCACTGATTTTTGATTCATTATTGAAAATGTGCAACCATTTTCATTAATGAAGAATGCTTCCTTTCACAAGCTTATACAGGGAAACCCCCTATGTGCAGAAAATCTCTGGTTGAAAAGCTTCAAAAGCATCAAAGTTACAGCAGATATATGGATATATGGCATCTTGGGATGACCCGTCATTGGGTAGAACAGGAAACACAGAAGAGGAAATGAGCACACTTTTCATGATTACACAGATGGTGTAACAGATAAATGTACTGAATGTACTCAGAGAATGTTTTTTATGTAAAAAATATTGGTTTTAATTGGCAGTACTGTCTCCATCTCCTCTGGGTAGATCGAACCTGTGAATTTGAGTGATTGTTTGTATCCATGTTTGAAAGTCCCTAGTTGCCACTCCTCTCTTCTACTTTTTTTCTCTCTGCCTTTCCACCTCACCAGATTATCACTTTACAAAAATACAAAAGCTGTGTAGCAATGGATGAGAACATTAATGGTGGTGTAGTGGCAGGCCTGGACTGTGAACCAGTGGTGGGCCTGGACTGTGGAGAAATGGATGAGACTATGAAGATCAAGTGGCCATGGTAGAGCCAGCAGAGATATGGACCACCAGGGCAGAGCTAGTGGAGGAGATGACCACCAAGGCGGCGCTTGCGAAACATGGGTCCACAGCAGAGCAGAAGTCCTCTACAAGTATGAAGGCCTTGATCAAATGGAAGACCACTGGAGATCAGGATGGCCTCTGTGGCCATAAAAGGGGACACAGAAAGTTTGTGGGCAATGTCCATGGCCATGACATGGGGCACATTAAGTTCAGGAGCAGACACCACCACCTCTGAGGGAGCTGTAGTGGAATCTGCCACCTTGGGAATGTGTGTATGGCCCAAAAACAAAGGATGGTGGTTGCCAATACAGAAATTGCAACTCACAGTGGAAAGGCCTCCAGGACCACAGGAACAGAGGAAGCATTAAGACTGGCGCCTTTGACTTGTCACATTCTTTGGTCAGTGTGAGAAGTGGGCGTGACATAAAAAAAGTGACGTGACATGTGGCCAAGTATGGTGACCCATACTCGGAATTAGTGCTCTGCATTTATCCCATCCAAAGTGCACACACACAGCAGTGAACACACACACACCGTGAACACACACCCGAAGCAGTGGGCAGCCATTTTTTGCTGCGGCGCCCGGGGAGTAGTTAGGGGTTCGGTGCCTTGCTCAAGGGCACCTCAGTCGTGGTATTGAAGGTGGGAGAGAGTGCTGTACATTCACGCCCCTCACCTACAATCCCTGTCGGTATGAGACTCGAACCCGCAACCTTTGGGTTTCGAGTCCGACTCTAACCATTAGGCCACGACTTCCCCCAATGTACATTCAGTACATTTATCTGTTACACCATCTGTGTAATCATGAAAAGTGTGCTCATTTCCTCTTCTGTGTTTCCTGTTCTACCCAATGACAGGTCATCCCAATGTGGATCCATTCACCAGTGAAGAGGCTTTAGTGTGGTGGCTGTGGCATGAGGAGGCTCTGGCATAGCGGCGTGATGTGACAAAGCTTTGGTGCGGCCAGTCCACAACACCCAAAGTAAACACTTAACATAGTCCCATAACATGATCCCTTTCCTCATGGTCCAGAGACTTAGAACTGGGTGTATCTGTTAAAAGGGTCATATGATGCACTTTAAATTGTTCCTTTCTCTTTGAAGTGTTACAAGCTCTTGGTGCATAAAGAAGATATGTAAAGTTGCAAAGTCTAAAGTCTCAAATCCAAAGAGATATTCTTAATAAAAGTTAAGAGTCAACCACGGCTCCCCATCATGGCGGATGGCAGCAGGCTCCAGCCTCAGGCGAACGGCGGCGACTCCTCCACTCCCTCACGGACGGCAGCCGTCCCTCCACAGCCCAGGCGGCCGGCAGCAAGTTCGTCCACCCCCCTGGCAACTCACTCCAGCCCACCGCCTCGAGCGTCCATGGCGGCAGACTGCTCTGCCATGCTCGATGGGCGAGGGATCTCTGGCTGCGTGTCCCTCCTTCCTCCCGGGTTTCGGCACCAATGTAACACAGTTTGTAGATCGAGAAGAAGGAGGCGGGAACCGGCGAACATTTAAACAAAACTTTAATAATAAAATAAACAGAAAACAGCGCGATAGCCCCTCGCAGACGACTGTCGCGCACAAACAGAACCAAAACACAAAATAAAGTCTAGGCCTGGTCCTCTCTCGTCCAACACTGTCGTCACTCCTCCTTTTATCCTTCCGGAGCTCCTCCGTGGGACTCGAGACCGGTGAGTGGTGCAGGTGTCGTGCATTATCACTTACTCCAGAGCCTTAATGTCTCTCTGGACAGACCAGAACAAGGAATATCTGTTTCAACGAGGTGCTGTGGTTGGCTGTTAGCCTCAGAGGGGTCAAGTCAAGTCAACTTTATTTATATAACGCTTTTAACAATACAGATTGTATCAAAGCAGCTTTACAGTATTAAAGAGGAAAATAGTGTGTCGATAATGCAAAAGGACAGTAGTAAACACTCAGTTTTCAATTAAAGGCAGTTCATCATTGAATTCAGTGATTTCATAATCCAGCTCAGTTCAGTTTAAATAGTATCTGTGCAATCAAGTGGACGATATCGCTGGAAATTAAGTGTCCCAAACTAATCAGGCCAAGGGTCACACACAGTGTGGCTGACCCTTCATTCCCCACTGAAACTCTTTTTCATAGTTCAAAACACAATTAGAACAAGTTTTACCAATGCATTACTCACTTCTGTAATGCATCAATTTCTGTAAGATTTTGCACTACAAATAGTGTCACAGAGAAAACTTATTGCACTGAATAATTATGAAATAGAAGTGTTGTAGATAACATCAATTGTAAGGTTTGCAAACATATTTATGAATGGATTTGGATGGATTCTTGTGGCCTCTCTTTGTTTCAATCAATACTGCTGCATGCAGAGGTCCTACAGTAAGATGACCATAGTGCCATTTTCCAGGGACACGTTTTTGCCAGGATTTCTATATTGCCTAAAATATCCCGGTTTTGGCTTTTTTTTCCTGTTTTCATACATGCTGAAAGTAATGATCTAAAAGTAGTTTAACCAATAACATGCAGGCATTGTACATAATCGACCAATCGTGGTGCGTGAGAAGGTGGGATCTACAGAGAACGATCAAAGCGATGCAAATACGCGTACATATCAGCTGTCTTCGACTTGAAGCGGCACTTAGATGTGATACAGTGATTGATCTGCACAGCGCAAACAGACAAAACCTGGTCATTTTAGGCAATATGGCCAAAACGTGTCTCCAGAAAATGGCAGGTATGGTCAACTTATCCTACAGAATTTTTTGACAGTCCTGACCTACCCCTTTGTTTTGAGATAAGTGAAGGGCAGAAATTGTATGTGGACCAATAAGAAGTCATTTTCCTCCTGGGCTTGGTGCCAGAGGTCATTGTCTTGCCCCATTAAGAGGTGGCTGGCTGTTGTCCTAGCATCCTTACCTGATACCGTTAGACATTTGTTTGCATTAATCTATCAAGAAATGTTTAAAAAAAACCTGTCTCCACTGTTGCAGTCAGAGAGGAGCCTGCCATAAAACTGGAAGGGCCTAGAACACTGGTTCTCAGTTTCTCCTGGCGACCCCCTGCTCTGCACATCACACATGTCTCCCTTATTTAACACACCTGCTTCAGATCATCAGTTTAAGAGAGAGATCCATGTACTGAACTGAGTCGGTGCATTCCAATCGGGATATATCGCCCTCCGAAGGGCACTTCGGAGTGAAAACAATCATGGTCTCCATACTGAAGGGTCGTTCCAAACCGAAGTGCTCAAAACTGGCCACTTCAAAGTGCCCTTTGGAATGAAAGATTTCGAAGGGTACAACTGATGGATACTTCAGGCCCCCATGATCGTTTGCACAGATTCTTCGCACGATGAGGTCGCCTCCGTGTGGGCACTTGATGATGACGCAGAGGGGAACTTCAAGGAACAGTTGTTTGGTCCCTTACACCCTTCAACCCTTCAAAGCTCCCACTCCGGAGGGTAAACCCTTTGAAGGGATTAGGGCATAGGGATGAGCCCTTCCGAATGGAACGCAGGGAGTGTGTCAAATAACAGTGACATACAAAATGTGAAGAACAGGGGGTTCCAAAGACTGTAAATGAGAACCACTGGCCTAGAATATGCTGTTCAGTACAATAAATTAACATGTTTATAAAGACATTTTACAGGAACAGCAGGTTATTTCCTGCTAATTCATATGCTGTATAACCTAAATATTTATAAACTGAAACAGATTTGGGGGGTATGAAGTTAACATACAAAATGTGAAATTTACAACTGATTGTGTTATTAGTGTAGTCACATTGGGTTTGTCTATAATTGTGAGTTAAATTAAGACCACATTTTACGAGTAATTGCAGAAATCCAGATATTTTCAACCTGTTCACAAACTTATTTACCACTGATAAATAGATAAACAAACAGACAATGTTAGACAATGGGTATGTTTACATGGATATCAGTAATCGAATTATTTACCTTATTCTGAATAAAACAATATTATAATTAAGGTGTTTACATGAGTTGCTTTTAGAATATTTCTTTCATGTTCCCATTTTATAGTACATAGATCGATTAATGGCACACGTCTTTACATCCCCACGCAACACCATCCGACATTCCCTCCAGAATTTCACAAATCAACATACAGTTCGTCTTCGTTATGGTACCATATGCCATTTTGGGTGTTTCATTTTTTAATTTACGAAAGCTTCAACTGCAGTTAATTATTTGTCATGCTGTACATACAAACAGACGACGGCGTTGTTGAAGCCATTCTTTTGTTTGCCGTCGGTTGACCACTGCTGTGTGTGTATCCTGTCACAAAATGCAACGAAAAGTCCTACATTATGGTAATAGTATGATTTTTAAAGATTTTTTTTTTTTGTCGTTTTTGCCTTTTATTGATAGGATATAGTAGTGAGACAGGAAGCGAAGTGGGATGGGATCGGGAAAGGTCCACAAGCCAGGACTCGAACACGGGACGCGCGAAGCGCAATGGCGCTACATGTCGACGCGCTGCCCACGAGGCTATCGGCGACAACATGGTAATAGTATGATTAAGGTGTGTACATGTCTATACTGCACTTCAATAATGCAACTAAAATAGGAATACTCCACGTCTTAATTCGATTAGTGTTTACTTCGAGTATGACTTTAACCGGATTAAGGTAATCAAAAATCTCTGTTTACATGGTCGATTCGTAATCAGAGAATTGTATTAAACTTGTTATAATCGGAATATTGTTGTCCATGTAAACATACTGAGTGTTTAGCTACACAACTTGCAGCTCGAACCAGCTTCTGGATGTCACCAGATGAAACCACATATTCATATTCAAGTCTACATTTACATTTACAAGTCCAGATTGACAACATATCTGTCCATTCTCTGAAGATGAATCATATAATCCAGTACAGTGTAAATTGTTTCATTCAGTTTGTCCATTTATATAGCATTTTCATTTACATTGTGCCATTTTACAGAAAGATGGAAGTTTATTCATCTATTTCTCTGATTCTGACATACTAATCTGAATCTAATATATGAGCAATGCCTCTATGCAATCAAAAAATTATTTCACATAGATACATATTTTATTGTGCAACTTAAAATGGTCAAGTCAGTTCTCACTCTTTTTAAAACTTTTTCCACACACACACTTGTTTCTGTGAATTGTGGGGACTTTCCATAGACTTCTGTTACTTTTATACTGACCAAACAAAATTTTCTACCCCCTAAACCTACCCCTTACAGAAACCCTGTTTGCATTGTTACACTTTAAGTTAAACATCATTTACTATTCTTAATAATTTTTTCCCTTGTGGGGACCGCAGGCCAGTCCCCACAATGTCAAAAATTTCAGGTTTTACTGTCCTTGTGGAGACATTTACATCTATATAACTTGTATCTGTGAGTGTAATGGCAAACTTTTTTTTTTTTGAACTGGTCATAATTAAATTATCATTCCTCCAGAGTTAATGTGCAGGTGATTTTTGAAATTGCTCATTTTCCTAAACCTCTTCCTACATTGAGGAACATTAAGATTTATTTCCAGAATGAGTGTGCAAATGATGTTTTAGGTCTCTCTTATATCTGAAACTCATTTTACACTGAAGACACGTATAAGGTCTCTCTCCAGTATGAAGTCTCATGTGAACCTTTAGGTTTCCTTGAACTGTGAAAAATTTCCCACACTGCTGGCAGGAGAAAGGGCTCTCTTCATTATGAATCCTCATGTGGATTTTAAGGCTTCCTTTATGAGGGAAACTTTTTCCACAGTGATGGCACATAAAAGGCTTCTCTCCAGTGTGGGTCATGACATGATTCTTAAGGTTATTGCTGTCTGGGAAACTCATTCCACACTGATGTTTTCTGAGTCTATAGTCGCCCTATGAACCTTACATAGGAAAATTATGAAATATGGCACAATTAAAGCGATAATCTTGTTTAGTAATCTGACCAACAGTTGTGACCATCATAAATTAAAAAAAATCACTTTTCTTTGAAATAACTTTGGATACAACTCTTTGTCCTAGAAGCTTTTGGCACAAATGATTACTCTCCTTTTGCTGATCACATTCAATATCTTACATTTATGGCGCTTTTCCACTGCATGGTACGGCCAGTGATGGCACATAAAAGGCTTCTCTCCAGTGTGGGTCATGACATGATTCTTAAGGTTATTGCTGTCTGGGAAACTCATTCCACACTGATGACATATAAAACTGTTCTTTTTTAAGTGAACCCTCATGTGGCAGTCAAGGTTTACTTTACATCTGAAGCTCTTTCCACACTGACCACATACGAATGGCTTGTCTCCGGTGTGAATTCTCATGTGGGCAATAAGTGTTGCTTTATGTTTAAAACTCTTTGCACACTGAGGGCATGCGTAAGGCCTCTCTCCGGTGTGAATTCTCATGTGGCTTTTTAGGATTCCTTTTTGGTTAAAACTTTTTCCACACTGCTGGCAGGCGAAAGGGTTCTCTCCGGTGTGAATTCTCATGTGGCTTTTAAGGGTTCCTTTTTGATTAAAACTTTTTCCACACTGTTGGCAGGCGAAAGAGCTCTCTCCAGTATGAATTCGCATATGAATTTTAAGGTTTCCTTTTTCAGTGAATCTTTTCCCACACTGTTGACAGGTGAAAGGCTTTTCTCCAGTGTGAATTCTCATGTGGACTTCAAGGTTTGCTTTTCCAGCGAAACTCTTTCCACACTGCTGGCAGGTGAAATTACTTCTAGTTCCTGTCTTTCGCGTTCTTTTTTGTGTGGAAACCTTTTTAGTCTGTGAGCAACTAAAAGATTTCTCTTCAGTCATGAAATCATAATGTTTCTCATCCAGATATTTCTCTTCCTTTACATCATTCAGTTCTTGACTCTCCTCTTTCAGCGGCATCAGGTCTACGGTGAAAAAAGACATTTTAATCCCAGTTTGTTTATTATTCTGTTTTTATTAGTAGCCAAGCACTGAAGGTGCTGTAGTCCCTTTTCTGAGTCTATAGTCGCCCTATGAACCTTACATAGGAAAATTATGAAATATGGCACAATTAAAGCGATAATCTTGTTTAGTAATCTGACCAACAGTTGTGACCATCATAAATTAAAAAAATTCACTTTTCTTTGAAATAACTTTGGATACAACTCTTTGTCCTAGAAGCTTTCGGCACAAATGATTACTCTCCTTTTGCTGATCACATTCAATATCTTACATTTATGGCGCTTTTCCACTGCATGGTACGGCACGGTACGGTTCACTTTTGGGGGGTTTTCCACTGGGTACAGTACCTGGTACTTTTTTTAGTACTACCTCGGTTGAGGTTCCAAGCGAACCGTACCGTTACCAAAACGTGACGTGTAAACTCTGCTGATCACGGATTGGCCGGAGAGAATCGTCACTACCTGCGTCACTGAACTTGCGACACAAACACAACAGAACCGCTAGATTTAAATCAGCACAGCCAGCGAAGGATCGAACGCAACTGTTTTGAACGAGTGCACCTTTTTTAACAACCAAAAAGTGGCTATTTCGTTGTCTGTTGAGGAAGTACAGACGTTTCTCTCGTTGATAGCAGAGGAGCGGATCCAGCGAGAGCTTGATGGGGCGATGCGGAATGAAAAATGTTTTTCAGGAGTCGCGGCAATAGAGGTGGCGCAACTATAACGACATGTGAATAATCCCACCCACTCTAAAGCGGTACTGAACTGCATTGGAAACGCAAACCAAGCCGAGCCGTGCCGTGTCGTATCGTACTGAGCCGTGCCGAGCCGTACCACGCAGTGGAAAAGCGCCATTAGACTTCACCCATTACAGTAGTCCCCATTTTAATATTTACTGTATTCCATTTTTCTCTACTTTAAATTATGTCTGATTCTCTTGACAATTGGCAATTGAAAATTGGCTCAGATGATCACTGGACCAAACCACAGAAAAATTATTAAACTGAAGTTTGATTCTCAACTCTATTCAAAAGTTATGATAATGTGACTTTAACCATGTGGACCCAAATCTGGATGAAAAGCTCTATGTCTGTAACAGTTAAGTCAGGGGTATTTCCTCTGAAGAGGCAAGGGAGGTAGTGCCTCCTCTAAAAATTGGATAAGAAAACAATCCATAGTATAACACTAAAAGAACAAAAAGTTACGAAATGCATCCTCTGAGCTCACTGAGTTTTAACCAGTGGTGGGCCGTCAGGGTCAGCAGGGCCTTCTCTTCTGGCCCTATAAAAAATAAAATTGTGTGAAAATGTTTTTGATTATTTAGTTATCATTTTCATTTGTGTAATGTTCACAAAGTTGCTAATGATTAGTTTCGTTGAGGTTGAACTGGAATATCCTAAATGAAAAAAAAGGTCAGCGGCCAGCACTACAGATATGGCGCTTTTCCACTGCGTGGTACGACTGGGCTCGGCACGGCTCAGTACGGTACGGCACGGCTCGGCTCGGTTTGCGTTTCCACTGCAGTTCAGTACCGCTTTAGAGTGGGCGGGATTACTCACGTGTCATTTATAGCTGTGCCGCCTCTACTGCCGCGACTCCTGAAAAACTTTTTAATTCTGCCTCGCCCCATCAAGCTCTCGCTGGATCCGCTCCTCTGCTATCAACGAGAGAAACGTCTGTACTTCCTCAACAGACAACGAAACAGCCACTTTTTGGTTGTTAAAAAAAGGTGTGCTCATTCAAAACAGTTGCGTTCGATCCTTAGCTGGCTGTGCTGATTTAAATCTAGCGGTTCTGTTGTGTTTGTGTCGCAAGTTCAGTGACGCAGGTAGTGACGATTCTCTCCGGCCAATCCGTGATCAGCAGAGTTTACACGTCACGTTTTGGTAGCGGTACGGTTCACTTGGAACCTCAACCGAGGTGGTACTAAAAAAAGTACCAGGTACTGTACCTGG